CCAAAATGACGTCGATTTGGGAGCGAATGTAGATAACTTATCTACATTCATTTTAGAAACATTAAAGCCATACATATATATATATATATATATATATATATATATATATATGGGACAGGATATTCTTACACCGGTGTAAGAGTTAGAAGTCTTACACTCAATCTTGACCATTGATCCACTTGTATCCAATGGCTCACATTACTAAAAAATTAGAGCCCTTAGATATAAATGGGATCAACAGACAACATTGAGAGTGTAACTTATATAATAATCATAATTATATGACTTTTAAATTACAGGGTTATAATGAGGACCTTATTGTCATAAATGGAATAAGGATGAAATTCTAAGAATTTTGATACCCATATTGAGGGTATTTTGCACAGATGAATTTTCATCTGTTAATTTTGACTGCTGACGCAGTAACAGTCAGTAGAATAGCTCCAAATTAGTAAATTATAGTTAGAGATCTAATCTAATGATATAAACATCATGAATGAGGTTAGTATATGATTTGATGAAGATTGATACCCATATTGGGATATTTTTGAAAAGTCACTTCTGCCGGATATTTTGTACTGTTGTAGCAGCAGCCGGTAGAATCCCGGAACGGGAAAAAGATGAGAAAATGGAAATAAAGACCAATATATGCCTAACAAGTCATAATTAGACCAAAAATGTTAAAGTTAAGAAGATTATGAAATCCGGGTACAGTTAAGAACACCGGTAAAGACTACAGTCAATTAAACAACTATTAGTGGATCTGTGATCGACTAATAAAATTTTTAAGTTATGAACATGATAATTAGACAAAATTAATGTTACGTACTTAAAGTTAGAGTCTTGGGAGTTTTCGGGTAAAACTTTGACGACGGTTCAGTTAAAAATTACATCGGGTCTCACTAAAGGACAAGGTGTCACTTAAGTGACATGACAACCCTAATTAGGGCACCTTCCCCTCCCATTTCAGATCTAATTCCAGCAGCCCCTTCCTCCTTCTCTCTCTAAATTTCAAATTTTAAAAACTTTCTCACTTTTCTCTAAGATTCCATCACGTAAACCTCTCCAAAACACAAAACCTCCTTCATCAAAGTTATTCCTCTCACTCTCCTTTTCACAACCATACCATTTTTATGGTGAGGAGCCAAAATTTCGTAGCTCTTATCTCCTTGGACAGCCACGGTTTTGTGAAGAAAGATGGCCATTGAGTTGTGTTCTTAAACTTTAATATTGTATGTTTAGATTTACGCTTTCGTAGTATCTCACGTGAACGTTTTTAGAAATGTTTTCATAAAAGGTTTTGGAAAAAGTTTACTCGTGTTTTTGTAAAACATTTTATTATTCTTTTAAAATAAAGTATTCCGCTGTGTATGTCAAATATCATGTATGTTAACAACCGGAGTACTACGGGATGTTATAACTTACACTGGTGTGAAATGATCCCGACCCTATATATATATATATATATATATATATATATAGGGAAATCAGTTTGTCATGTTGTAGGAATGAGTTTTTGGTCCTGCAACCATTTTTTTAACCGTGTACTCTCTCGGGAGTACATAGTTACAATATTAAAGTTGTTGACGTGAAGGAGAGAGAAAAAACAACTTTAATATTTTAAGTATGTACTCCCATGAATACAAAGTTAAAAATCATTACAGGATATCCTGTAACAGGACATCCGATGTGCCGATATATATAGGGGTCAGGATCATTTTACACAGTGTAAGTTACACTCTCAATCTTGTCCATTGATCCCACTTAGGGGTGTGCATGGAGCGGTTCATAATCGGTTTTAACAAAAATCGAACCGAACCGGTTTTTAACGGTTTGGTTTTCAAACCGAACCAGTTTTTTTCTTTTAAAACCGGTTTTCAATTTTCTAAACCGGTTTGAAACCGATTCCAAAACCGATTTATGGTTTATAACCGGTTTTGATTCAAAACCAGTTTTAAACCAAAACCGGTTATGAACCATAAATTGGTTTTTGATGATTATGCTATTTTTATAAGTAGTTCACCAACTATTTCTTGCAAGAATCTTCATTGTTTTGGAACTCTCCGGACGAAATGATTCTTATAGAAATTGTTTCACGTTATTTTGAGAGTGATTGTTAAAAGAACAGTTGAATTATTTTAAAATTATAAAAAAATTGCTCTTCGTCGAACCTTAGCATTAAAATGTCAAAACTACATAAATAGGAATCATTTTTAAATGTGGCATTATTAGAAAAGTCTCAAATACCGACAAAATTTATCGACGAAAAATATTTCGTCGAACATAGTGACAATTTTTTTGATGAAAATCACATTACGTTGAAAATAGAGACGAAACAAGAATTGGCCAAAATAACTGACATAAATATTTTTCAGAAATAAATCCAGTCAAAATTCTTGATAGAATCTAAATTCTGTTGAAACTTTCAACGGTAATATTTTTGTCAAAATTTTCAAGGAAAAATATTTCAATCAAAATTTTTTGACAAAAAACAATTACGTAAAAAATTTTGCCGGAAAATATTTTTATCAAATTTTTTTACGAAAAACATTTTCACAAAATTTTCAATATAACACATTTCCACAGAAAATTTTCGAAGAAAAATATTTCGGTAAAAATTTAAGATGAAAAAACTTTTTGTAAAAAAATTTGACAGAAAATTTTTTCTGTCAAAATTCTTTACGAAATCTAAATTTCGTTAAAATATTTCCATCAAAATAATTGACAAAAAACATATTCGTCGAAATTTTCGACGAAGAATATTTCCTTCAAAATTTGTAATGACAAATATTTCTGTAAAATTTTTGACGGAAAAAAATTCGTCAAAATTCTTTACAGAATCTAAATTCCGTCAAAAGTTTTCGACAAAAATATTTTCATCATACATTTTCGACAAAATACATTTGGGAAAAGTGTTTGTCATTTTAAATGACATATCACTCTATCCTTTTAAGAGAGAGACAGACACATAAATTTTTTTTATTTAAATTTTAAATAAAAAAAACCACTCACTTTCTCTCTCCCATGATTTCCATTTTTCTGTGTCTATCTCTCTCCTAAAATGACATAACTTATATCATTTAAAATGACAAACACCAAATCCAATATATTTTCATTGAAAATTTTCAACAGAAAATATTTCCAGCAAAATTTTCAACAAAAAACATTTCTATCATAATTTTCAATGGAACAAATTTCTGTCAAAAAATTTCGATGAAAAATATTTCTGTAAAAAAATTTGACAAAATTATTTTGTAAAAAATTTTGACAGAAGTTTTATCGAATAAAATTTCATCGGACAAAATTATTTATTTACTTGAGCTGCTTAATTTTTTTGCTAGTTTATTGTTTAAAAGTTTGAGTCAATTGACTGATACAATAGGCATAATAAAAGATAATACTTACTTGTTCTTTAATTGTAGAGTAGTTTGGTTATACATAACTATGGATAACCAATTATTTTTATGGTTTGGTAAATAACCAGTTTATAAACTAAAATGTAATTTCATATTAAACCGATTTTTAAAAATAACCGATTTTTAAAATATGGAGCGGTTTGGTTATGGATCGGTTTGGTTCTTTTGGACATTTTGAACACCCCTAATCCCACTTAGATCTAAGGGCTCTAATTTTTTAGTAACGTGAGCCCTTGGATACAAGTGGATCAATGGTCAAAATTGAGTGTAAGACTTCTAACTCTTACACCGATGTAAGAATATTCTTTCCCTACATATATATATATATATATATATATATATATATATATATATATATATATATGGAAAAAAAACATTTCTCGAGCTGCTTGAGATAAGTTTATCTCTTGCGTCCCAAAACTACGTCATTTTGTTTATTTATTTCCTTTTATTAAATGATTCACCTTTGAATGATTATGATTCTCTTTTTCTCTCTCTCCTTTTATTACCATTGATCCATCTTTGTACGGTTATGATTTAGTAGCCGGAGATAACTTTATCTCCGGCAGCTTGAGAAATAATACGCCCTATATATATATATATATATATATATATATATATATATATATGGGACATGATCCGTTTATAAACTTTTTTGAATTTTTTAACAATTTTCACTGTATTCTCCCGGGAGAATATAGTGTAGTTTGTATTCTCCCGGGAGAATATAGTGTAATTTGTAAGAGTTTTTAAATAAAAAAATTTATAAATATAACCTGCCCATATATATATATATATATATATATATATATATATATATATATATATATTGGATTCTAAAACATATAATACACGTATTCTTCATCAGACAACATATCCGGTTGAATCGATCAAACAAGTGTTATTAAATCGATGAGAACTGGCCGGGTTCAACTAGTAACCGATGAACTGGTGACACAACCAATTTGACTGAATCAACAAATAAGCCTTGTAATAGACACGGTGAAAACTGATTCGACTAAGGCAGTTTTTGACGAAAAATAGTGACCAAGTCAGTTTTCTTTAAATTGATTGAACAGGTGGGTCACGCAATTTTTTTTTTTTTTTTAAAAAAAACAAAATAGTGAAATGCTATGTTTTTACACCATTACCAGCAACCTAAATCCCTAAATTGCAACACAGGTATATGTATATACTTAAGTATGTGAATATTTTTATGAAATTTTGAGTTTAAAATATAAATTTGTATATATTTATTCAGGTCAATTTGTATATAAATTTGTATAAATTTGTATATAAATTTGTATATAAATTTATATTTGTATATAAATTTGTTGAACCAATAATCCATTAAATCGATATCCCAACCAAATCGATAAATAAACACTGGTTAGTCAAAGTTAAAAAATCAAAAGTATATATTATTCACTTGCTAAACCATTAGTGTACTTTTTCTAAACGAAAAATAACAACCCGCTGATAAAAACATTGAAATCTGGATGTGGTTATACAAACTTACAATAAGCAAATTAAACTGAATTTATTTGCTAAAACAAACAAGCTTATTACTGGTTGTGCCAATCCTTAATCTTTAAGCCACTTCACAAACCTGTTGAAATTCTCTGAAGACATACTTCCTTCTGCTGTGCTCATTACGTTTTCCTTTAACTTCAGAGACCTTGATCTTATTTTCTCATCACTAACAAGTCGGTCCACTTTTGTTTTAATCTCCCACCGTGACACGAATCTATTTTCATCTGAGTCAAATCCAAGTCCAACCTTTAACTCAACACAAATGTATTTTTTGTTAAAAAATTGGTCACAAAAATATGGCCAGCATAGGAAGGGCACCCCATTAGACAAACCTTCCATGGTTGAATTCCAACCACAATGGCTAACAAAACAAGCTATGGCAGGGTGGCTTAGCACCTTTTGTTGTGGAGCCCATGAAACTATCTTACCTTTACGACCTATGAATTCATTTGGGTATGTTATGTTATTGGTACAATTGGAATCTTGACGCACAACCCAAAGAAAAGGTCTATTTGTAAGGTCTAGTCCAAGTGCTAGTTCTTTGAATTGGTTTTGATCCAAAAGATTAAAACTACCAAATGCAACATACAAAACAGAGTGACGAGGTTGCTGATCAAGCCAATCCATGCAGGACAAATCTTCTTCCCAGAACTGTCCAATTGATCTTGCATTTACACTTTTATTGTCATAACTTCTCAGCAATGGACCAACTGGTAGGAGCTTCGGAACAAAGGACAATACCTCATGTTCAAGTTCAAATGTAGTGTTGCAAAGCCACCACTCTGTCAAATTTGTAATTTCTACGATCTCCGTACTAACTTTAATTAATTTTTTAAAAATTATTGAGCCAGCTATAGCTTTCCATGGAACGGATCCTGTGTCCATCATAGGAATAGTTGGTGATATCCGAAATGTGTTTTTAGTGATTGGTAATCCTGCAGCGAGAAAAAATTAAAACAAGCTGTAAAATAAAGTGAAAAATAAAATAATAGAAACTATTTATTCGTTCGAAAGTTTACAAGCATGTTAGCTCAATTTAATTCTCATTCTGCATGCGTAACTAATTCCAACTAAAATGTTTTGTAAACGAAATATAAGCAGTATACACATAAATAAAACTATAAGCAAATGCATGAAGTGATGTTGGGTAACGGTGATTAAAATTAGTTCTATTAGCATATTCGTTATCACCCCAAATTATAATCTAATAGATCAACCAGAATATGAGCAGAGTGACTTGTTAGTGATGTAATTAATAGAACCAAACAAAACTGGTTATTGAAGTATGATATTATTACATACCATCAGAAACTATGATCCCTTTATCAATAAGTGTGGGGATGTTGCAGTGAAAGGCAAATATAGCTGCTGATGCAGGCCAGAAGGCTGCTCCTTTGATTCCCAACTTGTTCCCAACATTCAAAGCCCATCCCATATTCAAATCTGCAACTATACAGATGATTCTATCCTCACCATTCAAATGAATTTCCTCTATGAGCTTCTGAAGCATTGAAGGCATGGAGATTAGTATAGCATCACTTAGCTTATTAAAATCTCTTCTGTCATCCTCAGGTCTTAAACCATCCGGGATTGACACCAACTTTAACAGTGATTCATCAAGTCTTTCTTTCTGCTCTACCATGGAACTCACCACTCGCTTGTGGTTGAAGTCTGTGTTCACAAAATAGACTTTGCATCCATGCTCAACCAAATTTTGTGAGAAGTTCATCATGGGATTGACATGTCCTTGAGCTGGATATGGTAAAACTAGCACGCTTGGAATGATCATTTTGTATTTGTGTTTCTGTTGATTCAGAGACTCTAATCTTTATAGTAACCAACTCCGTTCAACCATTTTATCCAAAAGCTTATTATAAATGATTTTATATTATATCTTTTTAAGACGGCCTGACACACGCAAGAGTTCTTGGGCTTAAAGTGGACATGGCATCGAACTCATACTGTGTTAGTCTTAATTTCACTAGAAATTGGGTGTGGCAAAGTCAAACTCGTGACCTATGTTACTGAGATTTTGATAATAAACAATGTTGCGACTTCGGCAAGTTCACCGATCATATAAGTAATATAGTGAAAAAGAGTAGGGTTGTCATTCCCACGAAGACTGATTTACCAAGTAAAATAGTGAAAAATAGTGGAGTCCATCGTCCAAGTAATGATTTAAATTAATTAAAACTGAATTTTAAAAACAATCTTTTTAGTTTTAAATATTAAGAAACAAGAACAGTTAAGAACAAAGAACAGTTTAATACTTCAATTAATAACGAGCGTAGCTAGGGATTCTACTTCCTCAATGGTTTCCCAACGAGTCTAATCTTTCCTACAATTAACATTCAAGATCAATTACCGATGATTCTTTCTAAGCTAACTAAACTCTCAATCCCTTGGTGATTTTAGTTCTTTACTTTAGTCCAAAGCCCTAACCCCTTAGAGCCTTTTTCTAGAGTAAGCATTAAGGTCAAGAATCATAAGTCGTAGAACTTGTATGCCTATGCCTAGAACATACAAACTCTAGCAATTAACCAAACAGAATCAAGAAAGTAATATTCTTATTGACATGCAAGATTCTAATGCCCATTCAAGATTGGCCAGATCATAAACGAGACTAGGAATTAAAAATAGATTAATTGCATAATTGAAACATTAAAAACATTTATAGGAAAGATTAAACAGCGTTAAGAAACCCATTGGTTCTGTTTCGCCCTAACTACATAAAGGAAATTAGCCCAACATTTTCATAGAAATTAAAGCAAAAGATGAAAAGTAAAGAGAGTTCATGATAAAACTTGATTAATGATGCTCAATGGTGAAGCCTTGATGGTATCCTCCTTCTTCTCCTCTTCAAAAGCTCTTCCTTTTGCTCCCCCAAGAAGTCTCTGGCTGCAGATAATGAATGGAATAACCATAGGCCTCCATTTAGGACGCTGCTCACTTTGTTGCTCGCTCGTTCGAACAAACTCGCGAGGTAATTCTATCAGCTCGCTCAATTGCTCGCTCATTCTAGAAAACTATACAATAATATTGGTTTTTCTTTAATTCTTCTTGAATTTCATATCTTCCAACTTCAATAATTTTTCGTAATTATAATTTATCATATTAAACCTGAAATTAACACAAAAAGAAGTCAAAATCATATTCAAATATTAAAACTCTAATTATTTTACATTTAATTAATTTACACTACGTTCTTGACCAATTTTAACAATTTTTACATATCTTTGATTCTAGAAACAGTGTCTTTGACTCTTATCAAACACCATCTCACCCGAAAGCTAAAAGATGTTAGGTGAAGGCATTTTATATAATATTTTCATAACAACTGTAAATCAATTAATTAACTCTAAAGCTTACGATATAGGGAGGATAACCTGGGATTTGGCACAGGATGATCTTGGATTCCTTTAAAAGTGTTGCATAACAATATAAAAACTTTTGGGCATGTTTATTTATTTATTTTTTCAATTGATATATTTTTCATTCCTTTGCAGGCACACTCTCATGCCTGTCCGCACGCACGCTGCCCATCTGCAAGTGCGGTCAACATTGCAAACACTAATATTCATTCATCCACAAGCTTATAATATTGAATCAGACAACAAGAAAATTCCAAATTTCAGGGATACTTACCTCATAAGTTCTCACCTTAATTGATCCAAACTAACCTTGTCAATTATATTAGTTATTATATTTCACCTTTTCTTTTTTAAATAAGAGTTTTGCGCGCATCTGCAAGGAATCAAGAAACGGAAAATTTTCTGATAAAAGGTCTTAGGGATGGCCATGGGGAATAAAATATTTTTTTTTTATTTTTGCAAAATATAAATCAGTGTGTATTTATTTTGATTAACTTTAAAAAATATACATACTTTGTTATAAAACAATATATTAGTGAAATTCCTTTAAAATTTTATTTTGTATATATATATATATATACACACACACACACGAAAGTTATACTTACAACCTAATTTCGTATACAACTTCTTACAACAATATCTTAACCATTGATTTCCCTCAATAAGCGGTTATTATTTTCACAAATCAAACTCATTAATTATTTATTAATTCGCACTAAATGATAACCGTTAGTTGGCGGAAATCAATGGTTAAGATATGGTTGTAAAAGGTTATAACCAAAAATAGGTTGTAAGTATAATCTTCCTTATATATATATCCCCGTGAAATTGTTAGCAGAGTAATGAGAGATACAAGAGAGTATTGTTATGAATTCATATATGAGACTCATTTATTACCAGGCCCAATAAAGGGCGATCCAAATATAAATATGAAATAATTAAAGGAGGATATCCATCAAAGATATCCTAAAATGACAGCTTTAAATATGGGCATGGGCTGCTAGAAGAGGCACAAAGGGTCAAGAATCTAATAACCACAGATAAACTCTATAAATACGAGGTAAAGCTTATAGATATGATTATTCTCTCTCTTATTGTTATGTTGTCATTGTGCACACACACCATGTTTATTCTTTGTTATTCTTTGTGCACACTGATCTGTTAAACTCAAGGCTATCTAACTTATAGATACCTTAGAGAGCACCTAGATCCAAAAGTAACTTACTAACCTGTTGAGCTAGACATCTCTATCTCCGGGATAAAACAAGTATGTTATTCTACATCTAATGTGGCAATTTGAGTTAATGGGTTATGTTTTAATTAATAGAAATACAACATGAATAGTTATTTGCGTCAAAATTCTGCACACTAACACGATTTGTTTACTTTTAGTTCACAAGTTGACGTGATCTGAAATGAATAACATGTAATTTTATTTTTTGAATGAAAATTATTTAAATAACCTTAATAATTACGTAATTATATAATTATTTAGTTTAAACTGATCGACGCGAACATGAATACTTTTAACACAAACTTGATATGAGTTTTTCATGTCACTTTAATTTTTGGTTGACATGAATACGAATACAGGTTGACACAAACATGGAAAATATGTGTCGAGTTCGAGTTATGTTGAAAATTGTCACCCTTAATTTATTTTGATATCCTCCTCCATTTGCCCCTCGTGGCTCATAGGTAACAAGGTATATGAGTTAGGCGACGTATAAACAGCTTATGATCTGACTCAATATATTCAATAAAATAGAATAATACGGTGTTCAATGTAACATCCTGTATATATCCGGTTTGTTATCATATCATCGTATTAAGCAACGCTTAATTTAAAAATGCGGAATATCTTTTTCTGTTCAACTATGACGTCATTATCATTAGCCAAGTTGAATTACTTAATTCATTTCATAAAACATCACCTGTATGTAAATTGCAAAAGACAACTAACTGAAATACCTCATTATTTTGACTTGAAACTCGTTTTACAAGTCCTACATAATAATTTAGGGATATTCATGCACTTATTTTAATTTTCCGGGATACTTCACCGGTACGCATTTATACCGGGTAGCAGAACCAGTATCTACATTTTTCGTCAGAAAAGCGACTTTCAGCATTATTAATCATTTACCATAATTATCTAAGCCTCATAATAATTATTAAGGTCAATTATGGAATTATTTCCTATTTTCACATGATTAATTAATTAATTACTTTAATTAACGGTGCAGGTTCTTACAGAAGACTCCATGAGAGGCTTGATAGAGCTTGTTCTAATGAAGCTTGGAACATTGCCTGGCCTAACAGGTATGTGTCTCATCTTCCTTTCTACAACTCTGATCATAGGCCTATCCTCTTATGTAATGGTGGGCACTCTATTCCTATGGAGCATACTTGAAACTTTAAATTCATGGCAGCTTGGCTAACTGGCAAGAGATTCAGTGAGCTGGTTAGAAGGAGTTGGGATAATAATAGGAGTTGGATAGTTGCTAGGAAGAAGTTTGAGACTGATGTTAAAATACGGCACCATGATGTGTTCAAGGAGAAAATTAAATTGAAAAATAGACTTTATTCTCGTTTGAATGGTCTTGATTCTTATAAATATGGGAGATATGATCATAACACTGAATTGCTGCAAAAGGAGCTTTGGAGGGAACTTCACTCTATCCTTATTTAAGAAGAACTGACGTTGTTTCAGAGATCCCGTAACCAATGGTTGAAATATAGGGATAAAAACTCTAAATTTTTCCATGCCTCAACAGTAGCTAGGAGAAGGCACAACAGAATTGTGACTCTGAAAGATGAGCAGGGTAATTGGATAGCTGATACTGATATGCTGGTTAATATGGCTATTTCTTTTTACCAAGATTTGTTCAGAGCTGAGGGAGAAAGGGAGGGGAAGTTTTGACAAGTACAGAGAAGAGAAGTCTGGCCATTGCTCCGTCTAAGGAGGAAATAAAAAGGACAGTTTTCATGATGGGGAAGTTTAAAGCCCCTGGCCCTGATGGCTTGAGTGTCATCTTCTTTCAGAGTCAATGAGATATCATTGGAGAATCTGTTTGCAATCTGATTGAGGATACCTTCTATAATCCTGTGAAGGTGAGGGATATAAATGGAACTTTGACTTGTTTAATCCCCAAAAAAGAGATTCCAAAAAGTATGAAGGATTTTAGGCCCATAAGTTTGTGTAATGTGGTCTATAAAATCATTTCAAAAATCATTACTGGAAGACTGAAAAGTTTGCTGCCGAGGATTGTGTCCCCTAATCAATGCAGTTTCATCAAAGGAAGGCAAGGTAATGATAATATTATCATAGTGCAGGAGGTTATTCATTCTATGAGAACCAAAAAGGGTATTAAGGGGTGGATGATGATAAAGGTTGATTGAGAAAAGGCCTATGATAGACTGGACTGGAATTTTGTTCTTGAAACTTTGAAA